GTGCTAATATAACATGACAGACTTCTCCATCATTTTCATCATCATTATTCCTCAATTTGTTTTAAAAGGAAAAAAAAAAAACACACCTAGAAAGTCATACTATAGGTTGTATTAAAAAAAAAATAAAATTGAATAAGAAGATAAAAGTGCTAAAAGTGCTAACTATGCATGGCAAAATTCTTGTGGTTTAACCCAGCAGGCAACTAAATGCCACACAGCTGTTTGCTCACTCCACCTACAACTGGTATGGGGGAGAAATTTGAAAGAGTATTGCAAGAACTCATGGACCAAGATAAGGACAATTTAACAAGAAAGGGGAAAAAAAGGACAAGGAAAACAACAAACAACAACAACAAAAAGAATAAACAAAGCAAGTGATTAATAAACAACACAATTGCTCAATACCTGATAATGCCCAACCAGACAACAAGCAACAGATGTCCCCCCAGCCAATTCCCCACTGTTTTTATTGTTTAGCACAGTACATATGAATGGGATATCCCTTTGGCCATTTTGGGTCAGCTGTCCTGGTTCTGTCCCCGCGAAGCTCCTTGTGCACCCCCAGCCTCCTTGCTGGCAGGGCAGCATAAGAAGCTGAAACGTCCTTGGCTTGGTGTAAGCACTGCTCTGCAACAATTAAAACATCAGCGTGTTTTCAGCACTCTTCTCATCCTAAGCCAAAACATAGCGTTCTACCAGCTACTAGGAAGAAAATTAACTCTGTCCTAACTGAAACCAGGACAATGTTGCTCTTAATCAGTAGGAAAACAAGCGATAACAAACAGGTACTATATACACACAACTGGCTATGTGGAATGCAATTCAGGGACAAGGCACTTGCTGTTCCATGCACTCAGGAAGTGACTAATGTACTGGTAATTTCTCCCCTTTCTCTCATGTGATAAAAGACGTTTAGGTAAAAAACAGTGATAGAAAATGTCTTTTCCCTTTCAATAGCAATATGAAAATCCAAACCATTAGTTAAAAGCTGATCTGTAATCTGTGTTGTAACCACAGCATACCATCCATGAATCAGTATAGAGATAGAGAACTGGACGCTTTTCTCATTCTGCAATATCTAAAGCCAGATTGATGGCTTTCACTTCTGCAAACTGACTCAATTCACCTTCTCCCTCAGCATCTTCTGCAACTCGTTGTGTAGGACTCCATACAGCAGCCTTCCACCTCCAATGCTTTCCCACAATACGACAGGACCCATCAGTGAACAGGGCATATTTCTTCTCATTTTCTGGTAGCTTGTTATACAGTGGGGCCTCTTCAACACACATCACCTCCTCTTCTGGTGATATTCTGAAATCCCTGCCCTCTGGCCAGTCCATGATCATTCTAAGATTCCTAGGTGACTGGGGTTTCCCATTTGAGCCCGCTGTGTGATCGGTGCGACCCACTTACTCAACATAGCATCAGTTGCATGATGTGTAGAGGGGACCCTTCCTTTGAACATCCAGCCCAGCACCAGCAGTCGGGGTTGCCAGGAGGAGCTGTGCTTCAGTACCAACCACTTCCAAAGCAGTGCAAACACCTTCATATGCTGCCAATATCAACCTCAGATCTCCCCAGTGCTTTCTGCCAGAGGCTCCAAGTGGGGCCATTCTCCTGGCTGTAGTGTAGAGCATGTTTTACATCTTGTCCATCCTGTACTGGCCCAAGGGTTACTTACTGTATGAGATATTCCCTGTTTAATTTGTTCAAAGGCTCGTCATTGCTCAGGGCCCCATTTGAAATTGTTCTTCTTCCAGGTCACTTGGTGGAGAGTGCTTGCTGTCAAACTGTAATTTGGAATGTGCATTCTCCAAAAAGCCACAATGCCTGAGAAATTTTTTGTTTCCTTTTTGCTATTTGGTGGAGACATAGCTGTTACTTTGTTGATCACATCCATTGGGATCTGACGACAACCATCTTGCCATTTTATTCCTAAAACTGGATCTCCTGTGCAGGTCCCTTGACCTTACTTTGTTTTATGGCAAAACCATCTTTCAGAAAAATTTGGACTATTTTCTTCCCTTTCTCAAAAATGTCTTCTGCTGTGTTGTCCCACACAATGATGTCATCAATGTAGTGCTAGTTTTCAGGAGCTTCTCCCTGTTCCAGGGCAGTCTGGATCAGTCCATAGCAAAGGGTAGGGCTGTGTTTCCCCACCCCCTGACCCCCCCCAAGGTTGTCGATTCTAGGTGTACTGGATGCCCCTCCAAGTGAAAGCAAACTGTCCTGCACTCTGCTGCCAAAGAGACTGAGAAACAACGCATTAGTGATTTCAATTGTGGAATGCCACTTGGCTGCCTTTGACTCCAGTTCATATTCAAGTTCTAGCATGTCCAGCACAGCAGCACTCAGCGGTGGTGAGACTTCATTCAGGACACGATACTCCACTGTCAATTAGTCTTCTGCACTGGCCATATGGGTCTACTAAAGGATGAGCAAGTCTTGCTGATCACTCCTTGGCTCTCCAGTTGAGGAACCAGTTTATGGATAAGAATCAGCCAGTTGATTCTGTTGGTGCAATATTGCTGCTGGTGCACTGTTGTGGTAGTGATTGGCACATGCTGTTCTTTGACCCTCAGCAACCCCATAACAACAGGGTTCTTGGAGAAGAGACCAGGCAAGGTAGACAACTTAAATATCCTCCGTTTCCAAGGCAGCTATACTACCAGTGACAGGACCCGCAGGAACGGGGTTAAGCTGAGGCAGTGGAAATTTAGGCTTGACATCAGGAGGGGGTTCTTCACAGAGAGGGTGGTTGCACACTGGAACAGGCTCCCCAGGGAAGTGGTCACTGCACCGAGCCTGTCTGAATTTAAGAAGAGATTGGACTGTGCACTTAGTCACATGGTCTGAACTTTTGGGTAGACCTGTGCGGTGTCAAGAGTTGGACTTGATGATCCTTAAGGGTCCCTTCCAACTCAGGATATTCTATGATTCTATAAAAGCCCACTGGTACCCTTTTGGGTCCTTGAAGTACCCTCTCCTGAGGTAGTCTATGTCAAGGATGCATGAAGCCTCTAGGCAGCAGTCATGGGGTGCTTTTGCCACTCATTTCCAGTTAGACTCACTTCGACCTCCAATACAGTTACTTGTTGTGATCCCCCTGTCACTCCAGAAATACAGATGGGTTCTGCCCCTTTATAGTTTTATGGCATTAGAGTACACTCTGCACCAGTGTCCACTAGAGCTGTATACTCCTGTGGGTCTGATGTGCCAGGCCATCAAATCCACACAGTCCAATAAACCCAGTTGTCCTTTTCCTCTGCCTGACTGGAGGAAGAGCCCCTCTAGTCCTGGTCATAGCATTCATTACTCACTTCTTGTAAATAAAAATCAGAAGTCCCGTTGTTAAGATCAACCCTTCTACTTTGTCTGGGGAACTCCCCACTGGAAACTGGAGCAGCTATTTTCTTGCTGTAAGCAGTGCTTGGTGTAAGCACTGCTCTGCAACAATTAAAACATCAGCGTGTTTTCAGCACTCTTCTCATCCTAAGCCAAAACATAGCGTTCTACCAGCTACTAGGAAGAAAATTAACTCTGTCCTAACTGAAACCAGGACAATGTTGCTCTTAATCAGTAGGAAAACAAGCGATAACAAACAGGTACTATATACACACAACTGGCTATGTGGAATGCAATTCAGGGACAAGGCACTTGCTGTTCCATGCACTCAGGAAGTGACTAATGTACTGGTAATTTCTCCCCTTTCTCTCATGTGATAAAAGACGTTTAGGTAAAAAACAGTGATAGAAAATGTCTTTTCCCTTTCAATAGCAATATGAAAATGTTGGGAATTGGCATACAGGACGTGGACATGTGCCCGTCAATTGTTCGATCTGAGCTTGCCTTAAGCAACCAGAAGTAGGCCTTAGAAAATCTCATGGCCTGCTGTAGCTGAGCAAACCAAGCTGCCAGAGTAACTGTGAGAAGCTCCCACGGCAATGACTCCCACATCGCCCAATTAAGGAACTCAGAAAAATATTGTTACCAGCAGCTGGCCTCAAGGACTAGGTCTACGTGACTGCTAATCACAAGGGGGGTTCTTTTCTTGCAGGTGGGGTTGTTGTCTTATAGTTGTTTGTCTGAGTGCTTTTGACCAATGATCTTGTGTGAAACACTGTCCGCCCCTGTCAAGTTCACTATAAAAGTTAGGCTATTCAGGCAATAAAATGGAGCAGCATGATCTGACTCAACTGGTGTCTGTCGTGCTTTCGGCCATGCTTCACAACATGAAAATCCAAACCATTAGTTAAAAGCTGATCTGAAAGGAAAAGTTTGAGGAGTAGGAAAGCTATTAAGAGAAAGTTTTTGAGCATTGACTGTAGCTGTTGGAACAATGTCAATGTCATGAGCTAGATATCTTAGTTAACTATCAAATTAGTTTCCAGACCATCTAATATTACTCAAAAATAAAGGAGGCGACCCTGCAATCTAAAAATAAACCCAAGGAGTGAAATCTTTGCTCTGCTGTAGCTAGAAGCCAAATGCACATTCATAACAGTGGTACCAGTATCTCACCACTGGCCTCAATGCCACAGTGAACTTGAGTATAGTATACTGGCAAGACATGGTGTCCCTAAAACCTCTCCAAGTAACATAAAGAAAATGGGTCTTCTGAAATACAGCTCTGACTGCACCAGCAATTTTCTGTGATTGCAACTTCAGCAACATTAGTCACGTAACTATGTTTAAATAATAGAAGAGTTAAACAGGAAGCAAATACAATAGAAGGAAACATACTCTTTTGTCACTGACAGTATTAAAGGGATTAAGTACAGCAATGTAAGCTGGGCTTCTCTTACAGCACTTAAGAAGTTCAGACTTCTCATTAGCATATTATTCTACTAATATCAGTACCTCTTTAAGTGAAGTTATCTAGTACCCTGCAACAACTGTCACTTTTAGATGAATTTGGAAAAAATATTAGAACAATATTTTTCTTATTTAATTGCTCTTCTAGCTTTGAAGAAAGAAATGAACACAAAATAATCTCTTACTGGCTTAGGGTTAGCCGAGAATCCAGGCTGCCAGACTTCATGGTAATAGTGTCAGTAAACAGCACGTCCTTTACTGGAGATGCTAGGGCTTCTGAGTGAGACAGTGAAGGATGCATCCTCTGCTGTTGTAAGCGTTTTAGCGTAGCATAACCAAAGGCATCTCGAGAACTTGTGTAGCTAAAGTTATAGTCAGCAAGACTTTTTATTGTAGCAAGAGAAGGAGCTTTAAGAGACTGGGCTCTTCGAGGAAGTGTATGAGAAGACCCTGGCAGTACCAGGGACACAGAGTTTGATTTTGAGAGAGGCAGGTGGTTAGACTGTGGTGTTGAACAGTGACTTGGTTTAACTGTTTTTGTGCTTACTACAGTACTCAAACTTCCACAGTCACTGTTTACATTTGTAGTGTCCACACCTATAATCTCCCTTGAAGGGCTAGAGCTCATTGAGCTTATGCCACTTGTCGTGGTATCTGTATTAAAACTTAAGCTACGACTCTTGAAATGTGCTTGTGTAGTACTATCTCCTATTAGCCTTTCTCTGCTTGTACTTTCCTGGTGAATTTCATTTCCAAGACCTTTTGGCAGCTTCAAATCATTTTCTCCAATACTAGGGGTACTATTGGTATCTTCCATGTGCTTACTTCCAACAAAAGAAGTTTCTAATCGTAAAGTCTGCATTTTAGGAACTCTGAAAACAGGGTTGAATTCTTCCCCAGCAGAAAAATCTATGTTACTGGAAGGTTCTGTTACAGTACGATTTCGTCTCAGGCTTGGTTTACTGTCAGATGATGTCAGTTTTCCTCCTTTTAGATCACTGCTGCTCCTGTGTTTTTTATTAGGTAGAGTAAGAGAGTTTAGAATGCAATTTTTCACAAGTCTGCTAGAAGAAAAAAAAGGAAAGGGACTACGGTCTTTGTCTTTTGAAGGCCCAGGTCTGTCATAAAATATTTGTTCTGTTTCTTCAGTAATATCTAGGAAGAATGTACTAGTGCTACCAAAACGGTCATTCTCCATGATGAACATACCTGAAATTATACAAGACTTTTGTCAATGAAAAAGAACGTTTCTTCAAAGCGTATCAACTAAGTCATGAAAAAGCAAGCTATTCAATAAAAGCCAAAATTGTAGAGTATATGGTTTATTGTAACTTTCAATGCAATATTTTTTTCTTCACAACTTAGTACAGTAAATTAAGTATCTTCAGGAATACCTGAGTTGAAGGTTTCCTTGCTTCAAAAGAAAAGCCACACTATCATATTTCAGTGCAAATATGTAGCTATTAGGATTGCAGCTGATACACTCCTTTAATGATAGCTAAATATGGTATATTTCTGGATTCAAATTCCAAATATAAATAACTAACACTAAATATAGCAATACTGTATGTATATTTATATTTTTTTTTCTATATATTCCTTTGAGGACAAGCAAGTAAATAATGTATACCTAAGTATGGAATTTTTTGTAGGGTATTACAGTAAATTGCCATGACTTGACGTAAAAGCTAATAACTTACCCTGATGTTAAAATGTCTTACTTCTACACCTAAAGACATGTAAATCTAAGACATTTTCTTCACTCTCACTTGTCTACATCTTTCTGAATATATAACTGTCCCCCTGCCTGCAGTCTTCTTTCTTGCTAATATCACCTTTAAAACACTTGCCTGAACCTCATCCTGACAAAAGCTTGATAACAAAACAAAAAGCTGTTTTATTTTCTGTCTTGAATTGTTTTTAAAACTTACTTGAAGGCATGGATTCACTTTCACTGTTATGCCTAGAACTGGTGGACTCAGAGTTTAAGCTAAGAGTGCTGGGTATAGAAGAAAGTTCATTGCAGAGCTGATCCATGTCATCAGGGACCACTGGCCAAGGCTGTCTGTAACTGTGTCTCACTGCATCCCAGTGGTGATGCTTCAAAATGTCACATCCTTGTTTAGTTTTGGCTATTAGACCAAGCACGTAGACACAGGTTCTGTATTTAATGTATATATAGAAAAAAAGAGCAATAATAGCATCTAATTTAACTAAACTTATTTCTTTTTTGAAAGGAAACAGTTACAAAACAATTCATCAGAAACATCACAAAACTGCCACAGAGCTTTTTATTCCTGATTTTTATTTGTAAATCAATGGAAACTTAAGAAATACACTAAAATAGCTGAAATACACTAAAAGATATCTACTATTCAAAAATAAAACCAAATTATTACAAAAATCCCGATACATAAAGTAAAACATTAATACAGTAGTACTATTAGGCAAAAGACAATCTATTTATGCTCTCTTAAAGATTCAAAAAAGTTACTGAATAAAAATGATGAAATATTAAGTTGATTCCAACAGAGATACATGCTACATATGTTTTAATTGCTTTTTAAAAGAGGCAAAGAGTAATATATATTTTTCCATAGGTTTTATTTGCTTACTGCTTGTACTTTTAAGCTTCCTATAAAATTCTGAGAATCCTCTCAAAATCTGTCATCAATAATCCTTAATAATTAATTTCCAAATAAGTGGCAAAACTATATCCACGTGAATAAAGCAAGGGTATCAAAAAACCTACTGGAACTAACATTTTAAAATTTTGTTTAAAAATCGAATACACATACCCTCTAACGGAGAGAACCTCACAATGTTGGGCAAGTGCCGTTATATCAGGAATTACATTCTCCTCTTGAAGCAAGTTAAGACCCCAATTTGATGATCCAATATTGCCCTGGAATAAAATAGTTTGTCAAATAAGTTTTGATTTTGATGTGATCCGCAGCACCATCAATGTAAAACCTTCAACACTGTTTTTTGTCCGTGGTACAGTTTCCAGCCACATCCTGTCAAAGGTATTAGAAAATTGAGCAGCTTCTCTCTCCTTTTTGGTATTTCTTAGATGTGCAAATCCAGTGAAGGACTTGGGACACTAAGTATATTACCTAAAACTGGTCACAATTAACTACTATGTATTCCTCACATTTACCAATTCTACTACAGTCACCAGTATGAATTTAGTTTACTTATTTTGCATTTCTCTTACACAGGCATTTTATTACTTACCTATTTCTTCCAGTAATAGTCACCTTGAACAAATTTTCCAGAACAAACTTTGGGGAGGACAGAAAAGAGGCAAATAAAAAGTTAAGGTGGCAAAGCAGCTTTAGAAGCTTAGCTTGGATAGACACAAACACTAGGTTTTCCCCATTTTATCCCCAGTACCAGTGATGTCATGACCATATATTCACAAACGTCAACAGTGGCAGCAAACTTTCCCTCAGAAAGGCTGAATTTTGGAATGCCATAGTAAATGTATTACATAGCAAGTTGTAATTACTGGTTCTGTATTAACACTGTTTCTTACATGTGGCAATGTTCGTTTTATTTGTAAAAAATAAATAAAAATAAAAAATAGACAAAGTGATGATGAAAAAGCTCAAAATAAATATATATGCAGAGAACAATCTTCATCTGATATTTCAGTTAGTTCAGAACATTTCACACATTTGATGAGAAAATAGCTAAATGATAGTTTTAAAGGATTTTGCTTAGTTATTTCAGAATCAAAAGTTGTAACAGAACTTGAACAGCTGCAAAAGCATTGTAAATCTATTACTAACCAATGCCCAAAGGGCTGCTTTCAGCTGCTTAATTCCTTCCCACTTATCCAGCATTGGGGAACGAACAGTATAACTCAGATCTGTAACAATACTCTGAAGAAGAAAAACAGAAGGAAAAAAAAAAACAGTTGAAAATGATAAGGAAACCTCAGTGAAACAGGTTCTCTTGATTTTTTAACAAACGTAAAGCACTAATTTAAATTACACACCCTAAAATAAATAGTGGTAGTTTTGGCATAATAAGCATAAATTAACAGCAACAGTAATGCGGGTAGAAAATTTTACTGTAACCACTGAATGTATAAGGTTAATTGAGATTTTATAAAAGTAACAGATTCATCAGGTTAACACTGCAATATATAAGCTTTCTCTTGTATTTTTCAACTATTAAATAAAATTCAATACATTATCTTGCAAACTCACATTAAAAGTCAATTTATTTAAGCAATGATGAACTGGCTTAGAGTTTGTTTTCTCAAATTTTCAAGATATTAGAAAAAATATTTTATTCCCTCATCTCCATGTTTTTATATGCATAAAAGGATAGGCACAATTTTTAGTCATCAATATACAATTCACTCAGACTAAAAAGCTATTTCTACTGCAGAGTTGCTTTCCATTCTATTTTTTTTTCTAGCCATTTTAAGAAAGATAGTGCAAGGTATTTCTGATATTTTAGTGTCAGGAAGGAATCTTAGATGAAACTGGATGGAAAGACTGTCTTTGGAAAGACACGGATTTTTGGCCCCATAACACTTGAGACTTTCATAATCTAGTAATTTTGCAGTGACTGTTTAAATGACATTTCTTAAAACATTTTCCTTTAAAACAGGTTACAATAGTCTTTAATATCTTTCAAGTTATAAATTGTTATTATCCTCACCTGAGACTCCAATAAATGGCAGCCTGTTTTATGGTGCACCAGTTGGCCATAAAGGTGAACTGGCAAGTAGACATGTGGTCTCTGTAATCTGGTAGAAAAAAAAATCATATGCTTTCCCAGCAATTCAGAAACTTTATTTTAAAATAAATTACACTGCAGTGTAATGCAATGAGTTACTCTTGAGTTTTTTCAGATGAAGAAGATTTTTGTGGAGTGTTCACCTTTGGTTGCTTCGACGAACATAGTTATCACCATCAACAGGTTTGCGATATGTTGTAAGTGCTTCATTAAGTTTTTCTTCAATCAACTCAACATACTTTAAGTTATATTCCTAAAAGAAGATAGACAAAGGTTGACACAATAACATTTAGGTGGTTCATGTTTTTTATAGTATGATACTTTATAAGGAAGGACCAATTGAAGTGCTTCTTAACGAAGGCTGAATTTCTTTATGATCTGAATATGGGGCTCACCAAAATTACTGCACTTCATACATATAAGTTTGCAGAAATTCAACAACTGATTCCATAATTATTTCATAGCATTTCATTAAAAAGGAAGGAAAGAAGGAAATATTTCACATCTGACTTTAATCTGAAAAATCTGAATAGTCCAACATACATTTCAGTATTCCTGGAGAAGGGACAGCTTATAAATTAGTCAAAAAAATGCCTAATGGCCCACAGGATTGAGAGTATTACAAAATGATTAACTACTACCTCAGGAAAATAAGCACCAACAATCAATTACAAAAACAAACAAACAAACAAACAAAAACACAAAATAACGTATGAACGTATGAAGATTTATTTTACTCTGACAACAATGTTTTTTTCTTAATGCGTCTTGTGTTCCTATCTACTTCCTAACAGCATAGGCTAATTCTATCTTCATGAGATCTGGATTTAACTTCAATTAGCTACAGAGTTGACACGTCTTGAAAAGTAGTATTCCTTTCCACACTTCTCTAGACAAGATCTTATGACAACCTATTTTGGAAATTCAGTAAGTCACTGTACTCCTAAAATATTTGCTGGAATATCAAAATTATACAAAAGGCCTGGGTAAATCAAAAGCACACATGTACAGAGGAGCTATGAAACTGTAACTCCTTGTTAAAGGAATATTTTGGCATGAGCAATACACATATGTGAATGTGCAATATTTTAAATTATCTTTGACCTTCTAAAACCTGTATATTCACATCCTTCCTCCTCCTAATTTCAAGCAAACACACACTTTTTATTCTTAGTATTACCTTTTGCCACTTTTCCATTTGTTTTGTTACATAACCTCTTTCATTTAGATACGAAAACCCTTTTGGAATGGACAGAAACCTGTAAAGTAACACCAGTTAGTCAGTATCCCACTTAAATCACATAATTTGAATAAAAGCCAAAAACTTATTGTTTCCATGGTGGAAAGTCAAACAGCATATTAAACATTTACCTTAGGAGTAGAAGCAAACCCCTGTCTCCAAGGTGAGAAAGAGCTGGTTTCATTTGGATAAGGGCATGAAGATTGGCCTAAAATAATTAAAAATACGTAAGTAATATCTGAGCACTAAAACACTCTGAAAACTATAACATTTACAACAATCTGCCAGCAATGATGTAACAAGTTTTTCACACAAAGAAGTATCAAACAGCACTAGCCTCATCCTAATATTATCCACTTTTTGTACCTTCTGTCATTAAATACATATTCCTATACAAAGCATAATGATCAAAATAGCTGAATTAGTCTGAATTTAAAAGTAAGCATAATCCAAACATCTACATTTTCTTGTCATTAACAGTGCAGCTTTTTCAGCATAGGGTCTACAAAGTATTATGAAGTCCATGAAGGACAATCAAGAAAGCAAACCATCAGTAGCTTCTTGCTACTGTTTTACTTTGTTACTGGAGGAGGCTGTGGAACACTTTACAGAGTAGCATACCACAAATAGACTGAAAAGGAAAAGGATGCTCACCTTATCTTCACATGCCTCATCTAGAATATCAAGTGCTTCAGAAGAAATAGTTCTATTTTTATCATGTAACTGGGTCACCAGTAACTCAATCCCCCAGTTGCTGAAGAACTCTACATTTGCTCTCAGTAATACTCGTAAGTGTTTTGTTGCATACAACCTGCAGCTCTGCAAAAAGCAAGTTGGTTTTTTTTTAATGGAAGAAAAAAAGATAAAGTAATTGATAATTTATCATGTTTGAAAATACATTTTCAATTACCATATTTTATAGCAAGTAACTGAGATGCCCATCTTATGTGTTAAAACTGCAGTCTATTAGAGATCTATATCTTATCAAACAGGAAATTTAAATCTGAGATTACTACTAACCTGGTTGCAGCCAGTCTCCTTGGAAACCCTTTATCAATTACTTATTCACTGTGATAACACCACACAGTCCAGGGTATGTAAAAGAAATACCTTGTGAACAGCCAGTGCAATTGCATATACTTTCATGTACATTATGCTTTGAAAAAAATACTTCAATAAGCAAACCCTGAGAACCTCTTTTGGAAAAAATGTTGTCCAAAAGTATCTGATCTTCAAAGCTTCTCAGAAAACCCTCTAAATAAAAAAGTAATTTTCTTATAAGATAGTTTCCCAACATTTAGATTACTACTTTGAATTTCTCTCAGTGACAGCAGAATGAAGTATTTTGTCAGTTCCTGTACTATTGTTCAAAGTATGTTGAATAAACAACATAAACTCATTAATATAACTTTTTATTAAATAAATTACATTCAAAATAGAAGAAAATGGGCTTAATCTACAAGAATTTGAAGTGTTCTAAAGTAAGCACAGAACAACCCTGATGTTTACTGGGAAAGTTATCTTTACTTAGACAAACAAAAGACAAAATCAGTTGCCCAAATCTTTCTTCAGTTCTCCAGTCCTTATACCTTTAAAACTATGATACCTCTAACAAAGTAAAGTCTGTATTTATTAAACTATAAAGGATCCATATGGAGATGGATCTGAATGTCCATTGAACCTAATGAGGTTCAACAAGTGCACGGTGCTGCACCTGGGTCAGGGCAATCCCAGCCAGGAGTACAGACTGGGAGAAGAACTCATGGAGAGCAGCCCTGCAGAGAAGGACTTAGGGGTTCTGGTGGACGAAAAGCTCAACATGAGCCAGCAGTGCGTGCTTGCAGCCCAGAAGGCCAACCGCATCCTGGGCTGCATCTAGCAGGTCAAGGGAGGTGATTGTCCCTCTCTACTCAGCCCTTGTGAGGCCCCACTTAGAGTACTGTGTCCAGGTCTGGAGCCCTGTGCTGGGTCTGTCTGGGATGGAGTCACTTTCCCTGAAGCAGCCCACACAGTGCTGTACTCTGCACTCGTAGCTGGAACAGCACTGGTATCACTCCAGTGTTGTGTTTATTGCTGCATAGTACTGGCACAGCATCAGGACTCCTTCCAAGCCCCCAAGAGCCAGCAGGTTGCGGGTGGGCAAGTGATGGGGAGGGGACATCGCCAGGGCAGCTGACCTAAACCAACCAAAGGGATATTCCATAACAAATGATGTCACACAGCAATAAAAGGGGGGCTGTCATGGGGGAGGGGGCTGTCCTCTCGAACAACTGTTATGTGTTTTGAGGCCCTGCTTCCCAGGACATGGCCAAACATTGCTCGTTGATGGGAAGTAGAGAATGCACCCCATTGTGACTGGCCCAGAGGCTCCATGCATCCTTGGTATAGACCACCTCAAGAGAGGGCACTTCAAGGATCCAAAAGGGTACTGGTGGGCTTTTCGCATAGCTGCCTTGAGCACAGAAAAGATTAATCATCTGTCTACCCTGACTGGTCTCTCAGAAGACCCTTCTGCTGTAGGATTGCTGAAGACTGAAAAACAGCAAATGCCAATTGCGACTACAACTGTGCACTGATGGCAATATCGCACCAACCGAGACTCCCTGATTCCCATCCATGAGTTGGTTCACCGGCTGGAGAGTCAAGGAGTGATCAGCAAGACTCGCTCACCCTTTTATAGTCCTATATTGCAGTGTGAAAGTCTAATGGCCAGTGGAGGGTAATGGTAGACTATCGGGGCCTGAATGAAGTCACATCACCACTGAGTGCTGCAGTGCAAGACATGCTAGACCTCCAAAATAAACTAGAGTCAAAGGCAGCTTAGTGGTATGCTACAATTGATATTGCTAATGCATTTTTCTCCATCCCTTTGGCAGCAGCATGCAGGCCGCAGTTTACTTTCACTTGGAGGGGCATCCAATATACCTGGAATCGACTGTCCCAGGAGTGGAAACAGAGCCCTACCATTTGCCATGGACTGATCCAGTCTGCACTGGAACAAGAGGGAGCTCCTGAACACCTGCAGTACATTGATGACATCTGTGTTGGGTCTGTCTGAGCTGGAGTCACCTTTTCCCTGCAGCAGCCCGCACAGTGCTGTGCTCTGCACTCGTAGCTGGAACAGCACTGATATCACTCCAGTGTTGTGTCTATTGCTGCGTAGTGCTGGAACAGCATCAGGACTCCTTCCAAGCCCCCAGGAGCCAGCAGGCTGGGGGTGGGCAAGTGATGGGGAGGGGACATTGCCGGGGCAGCTGACCTAAACCAACCAAAGGGATATTCCATAACACCTGATGTCACACTCAGCAATAAAAGGGGGGGCTCTCGTGGGGGAGGGGGCTGTTCCTCCTGAACAACCACTACACGTTTGAGGCCCTGCTTCCCAGGACGTGGCCGAACACCACTCGCTGATGGGAAGTAGAGAATAATTTTTCTCTCTCTCTGTGCTTCCGCGCGGACTGATTGTTTCTTTTGTATCTGTTTTTCCTTCCCATTCCCTTTCCCTTTAATTAAACCTTTCTCATCTCAAACCTCGAGTTCTCTGTGTTGTATTTTCTCCCCCTTCCTTCTGAGGAGAGGGGGAGTGAGAGAGCGGTTGTGGTAGAGCTTGGCTGCCCACCTGAGTAAAACCACCACACATCCTCGTGTGGGGCAACACAGCAGCAGAAGTTTTTGAGAAAGGGAAGAAAGTAATCCAAATTCTCATGAAAGCTGGTTTTGCCATTAAACAGAGTAAGGTCAAGGGACCCACACAGGAAATACAGTTCTTGGGGATAAAATGGCAGGATGGATGTTGCCACATTCCGATGGATGTGATCGACAAAATAACTGCTATATCTCCGCCAACTAGCAAAAAAAACCCACAAGCTTTCCTAGGCCTTGTGGGATTCTGAAGAATGCATGTTCCAGGCTAGAGTCAGCTTGTGATTCCTCTATATCGGGTGACTTGAAAGAGGAACTATTTTGAGTGGGGCCTTGAGCAACAACAGGCCTTTGAACAACTCAAAACAAGATGCAGTGGCCTTTGGGCCTGTCCGTACAGGACCAGCTGTGCCAAACATGCTTTACACTGCAGCTGGGGAGCATAGGCTTACCTGGAGGCTCTGGCAGAAAACCCCAGGTCGACCTCTGGGGTTCTGGAGCCAGGGCTATCGAGGATTAGAAGCCAATTACACCCCAACTGAAAAGGAAATATTAACAGCATATGAGGGGATTCGAGCTGCTTCAGAAGTTGTGGGTACAGAAGCACAGCTCCTCTTGGCCCCATGGCTACCTGTGTTACATTGGAGGTTCAAAGGGAAATTTCCCACTATACACCATGCAACCAACGCTAAGTGGAGTAAGTGGATAGCATTAATTACACAGCAGGTTTGAATGGGGAAACCTAATTGCCCAGGAATCCTGGAAGAGATCTTGGACTGGCTGGAGGGCAGGGATTTCAGAGTACCAACAGAAGAGGTAACTCGTGCCAAAGAGGCACCACCATATACTGAATTGCCAGAAGACAGAAAGCAGTATGTGTTGTTCACTGACAGATCCTGCCACATGGTAAGGAGCCATAGGAAATGGAAAGCTGCTGTGTGGAGTCCCACACAACAAGTTGTGGAGGCCATGGAAGGGGAAGGCGAGTCAAGTCAGTATGCAGAAGTAAAAGCCATCCAGCTGGCCCTAGAAATTGCTGAATGAATAAAATGTCCAGTACTGTGTCTCTACACTGATTCATGGATGGTGGCAAATCCCCTGTGGGGGTGGCTGCAGCAATGGAAACAGAACAACTGGTAGTGGAGAGGTAAACCTATCTGGGCTGCTACCCTGTGGCAAGATATTGCTGCCCGGGTAGAAAACCTGGCTGTAAAGGAACGTCATGTAAATGCCCACATGCCCAAGAGTTGCACTACTGAAGAACATCAGAACAACAAAGAGGTGGACCGAGTGGGTTGCTCCTGCCTTGGGAAATAGCAAACCCACTCGTGGGATTGTCTTCGCCCAAGGTACACCTGGTGGGTGATGCAAAAGGTTGGGGTATCAGGTGTGTGCCTCAAGGAGATTTAACCTTGGGAGAAAAACAATCTGTAATCTAAGTTGTGTGTTGTAGGAGGACACTGCAGAACCAACAACAAGTCAACTTTGCAAGGCAACGGGCAAGTGCAACAGTGACGTGAGCTAAGCTGGTGCTGGCATCCAGAAAACCATCTCTGCCTGCCCTGAGTGACCACTTTGACAGACGAAGCTGAAACCATCAACAGTTTTTATGAACATTTTGGGTAAAGGCCTATGGAATGAAAAGAAGTACAGATCTATCATTATTTTAATGGACAGGGAACAATGGTGATGAGAATATCTACATACTAAACTATGTGGGACCTGAGTGTGACACAAATGTCATGGAATAAGGGGTGGAGGTTGTGCTGGGTCTGTCTGGGATGGAGTCACTTTCCCTGAAGCAGCCCACACAGTGCTGTACTCTGCACTCGTAGCTGGAACAGCACTGGTATCACTCCAGTGTTGTGTTTATTGCTGCATAGTACTGGCACAGCATCAGGACTCCCTCCAAGCCCCCAAGAGCCAGCAGGTTGCGGGTGGGCAAGTGATGGGGAGGGGACATCGCCAGGGCAGCTGACCTAAACCAACCAAAGGGATATTCCATAACAAATGATGTCACACTCAGCAATAAAAGGGGGGCTGTCATGGGGGAGGGGGCTGTCCTCTCGAACAACTGTTATGTGTTTTGAGGTCCTGCTTCCCAGGACGTGGCCGAACATTGCTCGTTGATGGGAAGTAGAGAATAACTTTTTTTTTTTTTCTTCCTTTCCCTCTGT